AAGTAATTATAATATTTTTTAAAAATCAAATATTAATAGTAAACCTTTGATTTGGTTTTCATTTCATCTGTGTCGATATCATCAATGTTTTTTTCTTCGACAGAATGTGTCTTTAAAGTTGATCGTGTTCTCTTCATTAGTGAAATACAAGTCGTGAAACGAACAGCTATAAAACTGTTAAACGTTTGTCGAATAATAGTCTCTACGAAAAATAACATAAATTACAACATGTTTCTTAACATTACCAGATTAGATTGGGGTTAGGTTGGGGTTAGGTTTGACCGGTTGATGTCAACCGAACTGTTAAAATTTAAAATTCAAATGCAATGAAGTTTTCCCGCAAAATATAAACGTCAAATATCAATGTTGCCACTATAAAAATATAGTGAGATCATTTTTATTCGTGCTATGTATTGGGTTTATTCTTTAAAACGTGTTAAAAAAGAAGCACTACTTTTTCCTTTTGAAAAGAGGTACGATGAATTTTTTTACATTTCTGCATGAGAATATGTGCTCTTTATAACGAATTAATTAATACATACGATTGTTTAGTATTCCACGATTGACGAGGGTTTTTAGATTGGATATTACAGGCAACATCTACATTCGATTGAAGAATAATGTCAGGTACGATAAGAAATTAAAATTTACTCTTTTAATTAATTACAGGCTAATTGTACGAAGATGCTACGGATATTATTATGGATACATATTCGATTGTTTTTGATAGGAATTGTTTTTAATTCGAGTGAAATCATAGATTGCTTCTTATTTCTTTGAAGTTTACTTTTCTTGTATTTGTCGTAATAAAGTAAAATACGAGGCAGCTGTGTTGAATACCTAAAATCAAACTTTTTGAATTTTCACTTCTTTATTTTCTAATCTTGTAAGAATTGATGTTTTCTCCCGCGTAAAAATATTACTTTTTATATACAACACAGTTCGATATTTCGATTAAAGTACTCACAGTCGTTAATGTATGGATAGACAACGTTTGGAAAGTTAATGCTGAAATACTGCAATATTGTTGTGCCCTAACAATCATAAGGCACAGGTGTCGCTGATACATTGACGGTAGATTGTACCACGGTATGTTGAAATAAGCAACCTGCCCAACTTCTTGATTTTCTTGGATAAGAATTTCACCGGGCCAGCACCATAAAAGTAGTTGTACCGTTACGGAAATAAAATACGATGTGCATTTCAGTATATCAGTAATTTCTGCTTCGTTATCGAGCATTGCATATCCACTCAAACAAATTTCTATTCCGCTCGTAAGAATTTGCATGAAAATAATGGGTGTGAACAAATTATTCACATCATTTACCACACTGTGTAAAAGTAGTAGTATTGTCAAAGACAAATTGGATAGGACGCGGTATGATTTAACGGTAATAAAAAATATCAATAGAAAAAAATTGATTAATAAAATTGCAAATACAACGGGATCAGAAGCAGGAAAATATTTACTGTATCATTCGTTGATGATGGCGAATGCATCTCATTAGTTCTATCTTTATCTTTCGTGTATAATTTGGGTTACAATTTATTTCAGTTCCTATATTACTAATCCAGGTATTGATTAGTTTAAATTGAGCAGACACGTGCAAAATTGTGGTCATAAATGAGGCATCCAAACCACAGATTGTAGTAGCGCAAACCATGGATGATAGAATTTGACAGATGAAAGCGATTTCGAATTTGGGAGATGCCGAAATATCTGTGCCATACCTAATAACGTGTTTAGGTATGATAAATTAATAATACTGAATTTTATGTCTGAATAAAGTAAATAAGCCATATCGATAACAAATATCTTATGATTTTAGTATTGCAGCAGATATATTACTATTTATTTTACTTTGTGATCAACGACGAAGGAAATATAAATAGAAAAGGATGATGTTTACCAGACAACAAAGGGTAAATGTCGGCTGTTATCTGTACTGCTTGCGTTGTATTCGAATCTAAAATAATCAACAACTCCAGCAATGGAGAAAGTGATCACGTTGCACATGCACGATAAATAAAAAGCTATCGTACAAATTCGTGCCCAATAAGCGACTCGTATATAAGGCTGCATTTCTTTCGAATCGTTAGCGGTGTCCCATAAACTTCGTATTTCATAATAAAGTCTGTATGATCTTTCTCTTCTCACTATTAGATAGATCATTTTGAACAATAATTGTCCGATCGTGGTTAAAACGCATCCTACTCCTAATTCGAGGAGGAATTTAATTTAACACGCTGCCACAAGATATCATAGTAGTTTGTTCGAAGAAATGTGAGATATAAGTCAATTTTACTGAGGCTTACCTGCTAGGATCGTTATGTCACCCCAACTCGATACTATCATCATAATTTCGGGCACAAAAATGCTATTGATTGCTATTAGTGCCAATATCAAGCGGATATATGCGAATATTTTGCTACACGTCGAACTTTTCTCTTCGATAGGCCACATTCCAACCATACTACAGAAGATCCTATTCGGTAGTATGTAATAATCGATCGATGTGTTAGATAGTTCTTTCATGTTTTCCCTTGATGCGAAATTGGATGCGTGTCTACGAATGAAACCGTGTCTCATATGTCCTGACAAAGTTTTCCGGTAGTATATCCTGACAAAGCTTTCCGGTAGAGAATTCTTTATGACAATATTATAGACCAGACGTTAAAATATAAGGTTTTATTTCCGTTTTCCCTTCGCTCGATATTCAATATTAATGTTATTCTGCAATATGTCCCCCTTTATTTTGCCCCCCCCCTTATTTCTAATTTGTAGTTTGATGAATAGTCTATGTTGTAAGTAGAAGGGATATTATCTAAATTGATATAATGGTTTCTTATGCGACGTAATTGAATGTTCAGTCATGTTTAGTATATACAAAGTCAAAATACAGTATAGAAGGCTATTGAAAGCAACAGTATAGAAGAATTTGTCTTTGTTTCTACTTCTTTTTGATATCTTCAAAGACAGAATAAGGAACAGTTATTAGCAATAATAATATATTTAAATTAATTGTGTCCATTTTTAGTTCAATTTCACATAATAACAAAATGAGATATAACGTAATAAAAATAATGCAAGTGTTGTTAGAATTCACGTGTAGGAGAATCATGTTCATGATATTTGTAGTGAAAATTTCATCTAAAAGGGCGCTTGGTATCGACATTTAGAAAGCATGGATAAATTACAGGTTAATAAGTATTTCAATGAAAAAAGATAAAAATGTAACTGTGAAATTGAAAAGGATAACAATCTATGGGCAATATCCACATTTGATTATAGAATATCAGATACAGTATGTGTTAGAGATTTACATTTTCTGTTACAGACTACTTTTTGAACTGTCGTACGAGGGTACTACGCTATAGATGCACATTTGACTGTTTTTGTTGGAATTTAGTTTTGTTGCATTTGTTGTAACACAGTAAAATACGAGATAGCTGTGTTGAATACCTGAAATCAAATTTATATTTTAATCTTCATATTTTTATTTTGGTTTTGCAGAAATTGAAATTTCTTGATATTAACATAGAGTTTTATATTTTGGCCATTTCTGGCCTGTTGCATATCTCATTCTTAAAATAAGTAAATGATTACTCACTGCCGTTAATGTTTGAATAGATAACACTTTAAAAGGTAATGCTGTGATACTACAATATTGCTTTTCCCTGAGCGGGCCATAATATTGACAGCAACAGGAGGTATGTCGGTCAAAGCCTATGCAAATGTTATTGTCAATATAATAGGATCCAAAACGCAGTTAGGTTCATCTTACTCATCTCAAATGCAAGGACATGTCTCTACTTAGATTCTGCAAAGTTAGCCATTGAATTAGCGACCAAATATAAAAGTACGAATATAAACAGCACCAATATCGAACTAAAATCACTTATCTCTTTATCTTAACGAGTCATCTTTTCAGATATATCTCCGACAATTCCCAATTAGAATAGTCTAGTGAATGCCTCTCAGAGAAATAATATTTGAATCACTTTCGAAATATCCTTACTGCGAGCCGAACTTCACGAATCGGATTTCTCACACATTTTGAGTATCAGAAGACAATTATACGTCAACCCAGGAGACATCACAAAGATTCTATCACATACTATGGAATCCCTACAGAATATTCGCATTTACAGACAAACTGATCTCCTTCAGCTGTAACGAAGGACATATAGCCAAGCGATTCCCGAAGGGAGAGTATGCAATTGATAACATTCCAGGGTGTACCAGGACTGAAGAAAAAAATAAGACTAACGTTTCGTCACAGAATAGCAGTGTTCCCCAGCCATCCCAGATAATAGAGGAATTTTCCTTATCTCAAGTGACAAATCATACCAAACAAGAGCACAGTCTACAACTACGGAAGCTTCAATCAAATTATAAGTTCTTACGGATAACAGTGATACTGGAATAAATAACGCTCCCGTAGACAACAATGATTCAGCCATATAGAATCTAGTCATTTTCAAGGAACCTAAACCGTTTCAAAAGAAAAGAAGATATGGAAGTAACCAAAGGAAGAAAATCAGTATCCTGAAGACAGCTAAAATCACAGAAATGCTGGAACTAGTTAAATCCCCATTTGACAGTAATCGGCACAGATATCCGCTAAATTTCACCCAACTCCTTAGTTTTCTGGGTAATTGTGTCGTGCTATAAGACCCAACAGCAGCAGCAATTGTCCTAACACACGGCATGCCACCCTTAACTCTGATGTTAAGCGAAATGTATCTTCATTTTGAGCATCGAAATATAGAAGATAGAATCCGTAGTATCTTGGAAAGCTGTAATCTATCGATTTAAATCAATAAAATGGATATTATGTCGAAGTTTTACGTAAACTTCATGTAATGTAAATAACGTAAATAATTTCGATAGAGACTGAATTGCTTGGATAAAAGAAATTCTACATTCGATTGAAAAATAATATCAGGTACGCTAAGAAATGAAAATTTACTCTTTTTGTTAATTACAAGCTAATTATACGAAGATCCTACGCGTTTATGGATGTACATCCAACTGTTTTATAAGGGAATTGTTTTTAATATGAGCAAAATCATAGATTGCCTTCCTCATCTCTTTGAAGTTTACTTTTCTTGCATTTGTCGTAATAAAGTAAAATACGAGGCAGCTGTGTTGAATACCTGAAATCAAATTTTTTAAATCTTCACTTTTCTGCCTGTTAATCTCGTAAGAATTAATTTTTGTCGACGTAAAAATATTATTTTTTAAATTCAACACAGTTCAATATTTCGATTAAATTACTCACAGCTGTCAATGTATGGATAGACAATGTTTGGAAAGTTAATGCTGAAATACTGCAATATTGTTGTGCCCTAATAATCATAAGGCAAAGATGTTGCTGATAAATTGGCGGTAAATCGTACCACGGTACATTGAGATAAACTACATGCCCTATGTCTTGGCTTTCTCGAACGAGAACTTCACCAGGCCAACACCACAATAAGAGCTGTATCCCCATGGAAATGAAATAAGATATAAATTTCACTAGATCGGCTTTTGCTGTCCCGCTATCTAGCATTGCATATCCACTCAAACAAATTTCTATCCCGCTCGTAAGAATTTGCATGAAAATGATGGGTGTTAACAAATTATTCACTTCGTTCACCACACTGCATAAAAGTAGTAGTATTGTCAAAGACACAAATTGGACAGGAATCGGTATGATTTAACGGTAATAAAAAATATTAATAGAAAAAAATTGATTAATAAAATTGCAAATATAACGGGATTAGAAGTAGGAAAATATTTACTGTATCATTCGTTGATGATGGCGAATGCATCTCATTAGTTCCATCTTCACCTTTCGCGTGTAATTTGGGTTACAATTTATTTCAATTCCCATATTACTGATCCAGGTATTGATTAGTCTAAATTGAGCAGACACGTGCAAAATCGTGGTCATAAAAGAAGCATCCAAGCCAGAGATTGTAGTAGCGCAAACCATGGATGATAGAATTTGACAGATGAAA